TAGGACCGAGCTCCCCGACCCGAGCTCCACGTAGGTCGGCTCGGGTCGGGGCACCTCCATGGTGCTCCGGGTCCGCGTTGCTCTTGGGCACCCCCGTGGTCCCCCGGGTCCGTGTTGCTCTTGGGCACCTCCGTGGTCCCCCGGGTCCGTGCTGCTCTTGGGCACCTCCGTGGTCCCCCGGGTCCGTGCTGCTCTTAGGTTCCACCAAGGTGCTCCGGGTCCATGTTGCTACCCCGGGTCGGGTCGTGGGTATAATATATCCATCATATATATATATATATATATATATATATATATATATATATATATATATATATATATATATATATATATATTAAAGTATTGATACTGTACTGCCACGGCAGTACAGTACAGTGTCAATATTGTAGATAGAAAACAATACCAAGAATCTTTTCACTGAATGTTACTTGATAATTAAGCCTTAATTACAATGCTAATTGCAAAGAATGTATCTTTATATATATATATATATATATATATATATATATATATATATATATATATATATGTATATATATATAAATTAATTTATTATTATTATTTTTAATTATAATAATTAATCGGGGACGGGGCGGGGCGGGGAGGGGTATCCCCGTTCCCGTCCCCGTCCTCGCCGGGGAATTTCAAAAACTCCCCATCCCCGTCCCCGATTCCCAAAATTTTTTCCCGTCCCCATCTCCTACGGGGACGGGGATCCCCAACGGGGACGGAGCACATTGCCATCCCTAGTTCAAATAAGCGGTTCAAAACAAAACTGAACTGCGATCATATCTGTCAATATTGACTCCTTTACATAGAAATTTAAAAAGAAAAATGATGAGCTAGCAATGCAGTGCCACCTTTGTTGACCAACCAAAACGTATGCATAATAAAACAGAAAACAAAAATATGTGATGATGATGATATACATTAAATGCTTGCAAGACAAATTATTCAGTGGATCCGGATCTAAAAATTCACAATTTTTATATAATGAATGTTCACAATTTGTATATACTGAATGTTCACAATTTTATATACTAAATATTCACAATTTACATACTGAATGTTCATAATTTGAATTGTGAACATTTAGTATATAAATTATATATTTTGACTCGAATTTATTTTGTAAGGTGGATCCGAATCCATAACATAAGTATTGTTCTTGTAAGAAAACACTTTCTCTAAACAAAAATGTATCCTAACCGACTCATCCCATCTGGATCTGGTCATTGTCAGTGTGAATTCAATTCCTACATTCTTAGGGTATATTTGTATTTGTGAGGTGCCAATAACCTATGATAAGTTTCCAATTGTGTTACACTCTTAAAATGGTTGTATAATAAGGATAATTATATTTCCTTTAAATGATTTATAATTTATTTTATTTTAATGAATAAAGTTTATATATTTAAAAACTATATTAAAATTAAAGTTTTATATGTAGACTTGGAAATTTGACAACACTAAATGAGCAAATAATATTTGGCAGCATCTTAATTGAGATATTTGAGCTTACATATCAATTAATTGAATTAGTTTAGGCTATGTTATTTGCCTATTTAATGTAACTATTTGATAAAGATTTAGTCAATTATATATCCTAATTTTTTTTTTTTTTTAATGTTACTGACTCTATTACAATGTAATTACATATATTCTAATTTAAAGTATTATCATTGCAGAATGCATACACAAGTAGCTTAGTTGGTCTTCAGGTGATAGATTGTGAGCAATAACACAATAAGATCGAGTCTTGACAGCCACCATGTGGGAGCTAATTACACCCAATGTGGTGGGCACCAAACACGGGTGGGAGCTATAAGAGACCGTTGAGTCATCGTGATACATTTATTCCTCTACCATCTTGTCTGCCCGCTCCTATATATTCTCACCACTATAAATATGAGAGGTCCTTGGAGAATACTCCGTATTTAACAAACTACATACAAGTCATTCTTCGAAGATCAAGCAACTACATACAAGATTACAAAATCTTCTTTGAAAATTAAGTCATTTGAGTAGTGTTCAAGACATTCCGTGTATATTTTGTACCCACATTTTTATACTACACCGATTATAATTGATACTTTGAATTTAAATATATAAATTCAATTTTGTGTTTAAACTCTATATTAAACATAAATTTTTATTTTGAAATTTATAAAAAAGTTGTTGAAAAGTTTGAGAAAAAAAATATTTTGATCAATGAATAGTATAAGTAACAAAGAAAATAGGATAGAGAGAGTATATTTTAGTTATCATTTGTGGTGTATTTCGTTTTAGTTTATTTAGGGGTTGTAATTATTTGTAATCAATTGGTATTTGAATAATTGTAACACTATTAGGGTGCAATGGTCCTGAGAATGTGACAATGCAAAAAATAATTACACATCTCATTTCGTTTAATTTTATTCTCCTAATTTTTTTTTAACCTACCCAAAATAATGTTTACTTTGTTAATTCAAATAGAGTTAATTCCCAAAATGGTCATTTGACTATGGCCTTTTCTCAAATTGGTCCCTTGATTTTTAATTTTCTCAAAGTGGTCCTATGACTTTCTGATTTTTGAATTTTAAGTCAAAATGGTCATCCGTTAGCTTTGGCGTTAAGTTGGTGTTGAAATGAAGGGTAAATTAGAAATTTAGGTTTTACACTCCAATTTAAAGTAATCTGTGATTTTTTTCAGCAGTCTGCGCACATATTTCTTCAAATTATGTTTTTGCTCTCCTAAATCTACAATCAAAATGTGGGATAATCAACTAGATGGCCAAAAAAGTTCATCTTCAACTTCATCCACAAACTTCGCAATAAGTTAAAGATTTCTGGCCTTCTAGTTGATTATCTCACATTTTGATTGCAGATTTAGGATAGCAAAAACCTAATTTGAAGAAATATGTGTGCAGATTGCTAAAATGGAAGGGTTCAGGTGCGGGTATAGCTTCCGGTGCGGTTGACGCACCTTAAGTACACAAACCACGCACCTTAAGCACAGAAACAAAGCACTTTAAGAACACAAACCAACCGTACCTAAAGTTTTAGGCCGACACACCTTAAGTACACAAACCACGCACCTTAAGTACACAAAACACGCACCTTAAGAACACAAATCACACACTTATTTGAAATGGCGCACCTTAATTAAGTTTCAATAACTCATGCACCTTAAGCATACAAATCACACACCTTAAGAAGGAAAACCACACACCTTAAACTTTTGGTTGACGCACCTTAAGTTTCAACAACTACTCACCTTAAACACACAAACCACGCACCTTAAGCACAAAACCCAGGCATCTTAAAAAGAAAAATCATGCACCTTAAATTTTACCTAGATGCAAAAATTATCAAATTGTCACCGTATTTTTTTTTAATTTTGTTAATACTGGACGTTGATTTAAGCAAGATCAATGATTTAGATTTAACCGCATGGGACACACCCAACCGCACAGGAACTGATTTTTATAAATATAAATATAAATATATATATATATATATATATATATATATATATATATATATATATATATATATATATATATATATATATATATATATATATATATATATATAAAACACCTACTATATGATCTTAAAAATGAAGGCACAACAATGTGCTCTGGAAGGCATAATAATATGCACTGGAACTTTGGAATGCAAAAAATGTGTATTGTAAGGCAGAAAAATATGAAACAATTATTGAAAAGAATAAATTTAATACACGATCTTCAACACAAATCATAAACGATCACAATATTCAAACAAAGTTACTAATTAGTGATTCATTCAAGATCAAATGCTTTTTAAAAATAAATAAATAAATAAATAAATAAATAAATAAATAAATAAATAAATAAATATATATATATATATATATATATATATATATATATATATATATATATATAACACATACTATATGATCTTAAAACTGAAGGCACAAAAATGTGCTATGAAAGGCTCAACAATGTGCTCAAATTCACGGAAGACAAAAAAAGTTAATTTATTTACCTAAAGCAATGTGCACTAGAAGGCATATCATTGTGTGTTTGGATGGCATAACAATGTGCTCTGCAAGAAGGGAAAAAATGGTTTGAAAGACAAAAAAAAAAAAAAGAATTAACTTACTTACACAAAATTACCATAATATCCCTGCTCTTTTTTTTTTTTTTTAAATTACTACATTCTTACTGTTGATCTAGACTGAATCAATAGATGAATTAAACCATATTTTTGACCTAAGGTTTCTCTTTCACATGATTCGTTTATATATATAGACACACTTATCGATATATCGTTATATACACACTTATCGTATCGAGAAAAAAAAAAATTGAATAGAAAGATTTAAAACATAAAAGATCTTTGTGAGGTTAAAGTCAGCTTTATTAGCTAAGGGCAAACGTATGGTGTTCCTAGCGTGTTCCCTTGGCCGTATTTTGTTGGGAGACTTCCACTTGTAATATTGGACCTTATTTGTCATGTTTCTATTGCATAGGAATTAATTGACTGAATTTCTTTTCAACGAAATTTATTAGCTAAAACAATATTTCTGTTATTAGTTGAGAGTTGGAACTGAAATGGTGTCATCAGATCAGCACTGACATGACATATTGACATTTGTTCGTTAAGGATTATGTTGCCAAGTTAGTTGGTCAAGATTTGGGTAGGTTTTCCTGCTCTTCAATTTTCTAAAAATAGTCTTGCCCCCTCCAAATACCACAACGACACTTCACGCAAATTATGCCGTGCAACCGAATGCACCTAGCAAGGTGCATATGGTTGCAAAACGGCGCCGTTTTACTAAAAAAACGACACGGCGCGCACAAAATCAAAAAAAAAAAAAAAAATTGGATGGCCGTTAGCGGCGTTATTCATATCATATTTGATAGTTTTGCGATTTTTTGGTAGTTTGGCGTTTTGATTGCAGTATACGTAAAATCGCAATCGCAATAGCGATCGCAGTCGTTTTCCTGATTTATTGTATGGATCTCATGATGGATGATGCAGTAGACCAGAGAGACGAGGCATTAGATCAGAGAGATGAAGCAGGCGATGAATTGCATACGGTTCCAGGTTATTTTGCAGTTTGATTTTTATGGATTTGTGGTCGTTTGCGATTTTTGCAGTGTGATATATTGTGTAGGTGTTTATATTTAGTGTGATGTTTATTGTGTATGTGATGTTTATGTGATTCTAGTCTGAGATCATTCGTAACTCTTGGTGTTTATGTGTTTATGGTTTTCTGAATGAACGAAATATATATCCATAATCTTTGAACTATAAAACCAGAAGTTGTGAGCTATATATCCAGAATTATAGTAGTATATATCAAGGATTTTGTGAATGGATACTCTGTTCTGGATTGTATATCCATAATTATTGAACTTTTATGTCCAGAAACTGTGAGCTTTATATCCAGAATTCTATCACTATACATCCAGAATTATAATACTATACATCCACAAATTTCTAAACTGATACTCTGTTCTGGCTTTTAACACTATGCAGTCAGTGAAGATGTTGTTGTTGATTCACCAAGTTCAGATCCAATAGAGTTAGACATTGATGGTTCTTCTTCTAATCCAGGTCTATATGTAGTTTTATATGATCATAATTCACAGTGTTCAGTATTGTTATATGTTCATTCTTTTTCCATGGAAAATGTTATTCCTTTTGTAGAGCATGGCTGGATTTATTCGGCATTCCCCGCACCCCCTCTACATAGGAATTATATTTTCAATGGAACGTGTATTATTTAGTATACTTGAGGTTATATATTGCATTTGCAGTTGATGAAGATTTGGTTGGTGTTGTTGTAAGTAACGGGGTTGAAGCGTATGAGTTGTATAACAATTATGCATATAGAGTTGGTTTTAGTGTTAGGAAGGGTAATCAACGGTGCAAGGTATATAGCAAAACAGTCCAAATGAAGATGTTTATGTGTTCTAAAGCTGGTTTTAAGGTTAAGGCAAATGCTGGTGTTAGGGCATATTCAAAAATTGACACAAGGTCAGGGTGTGGTGCATGTGTTCAGTTTGACGTCGGTGAGGATGGGTTGTGGACGGTTACAAAACATGTAAAAGTGCACAATCACGAGTTATGTGCTGTAGACAAGAGTCATCTTCTGCGTTCACATAGAAATGTGGGTGATAATCAACTGTTATATTTAAAAGATTTGAAGAAGAGTGGTGTTGCAATGGCAGATGGTATTAGGTTCTTGAAACATCAAGCAGGGGGGTCTCCATTAGTTGGCTTCACTAATCGAGATGCTTATAATTCAATTGCTTCTGATACATCAAAGCGTTTGGATGGAACCGATTCGAACTCATTAATTGAAATATTTAGGAAGAGGCAGTCAACTGAGTCTGATTTTTTCTTTGATTTTGAAGTTGATTGTGATTCAAGACTATGCAGTTTTTTTTTGGAGGGATGGTCGGATGAGACAAGACTATGAGTTGTTTGGGGATTTATTAGTGCACGATACAACTTATCGCACTAATAAATATGATATGATTTGTGGCCCTTTTGTAGGGATGAACCACCATTGCATGAATGTAATGTTTGGATGTGGTTTTCTGATGAATGAGAGGATAGAATCATTTGTGTGGCTGTTTAGAGCATTTTTAAGGTCTATGAATGGGAAATGTCCACAGACTATCATGACAGATCAGTGTGCATCCATGGCTGCTGCTATTTGTCAGGTGTTTCCAACATCACGTCACCGTCTTTGCATATGGCATATTGGCGAGAATTCGAAGAAGCATATCAAGGCGTTAAGGAATAACAAGGATTTCTTAGATATGTTTAACTGTGTGTTGAAATACACAGAGACTGAAGCTGAGTTTGAATTTTATTGGACAAGGTATGTCCACTACTTTTTTTTTTTCCTTTTTCGATTCCAGTAATTGAATTATGGATGTTTAGTATTAGAATTATGGTCATATAGTATTAGAATTATGAATATATAGTATTAGAATTATGTGAACATGTTGTAGTATAGAATGGAACTTCTTGATTGTTCCTGAGTTACATGCATTTAATTTATGGATTTATAGTTTTGGAATTGTGAATATACAGTGTTAGAATTATGGACATATAGTATTAGTTGTCTGAACATGTATTAGTGAAGCAGTGAGCTTCCTGTTTGTCTCTAAATTATATGCATGCAATTTATGGATTTATAGTATTGGAATTGTGGATATATAATATTACAATTATGGATATATAGTATTAATTGTCTGAACATGTAGTAGTGAAGCAGTGAGCTTTCTGTTTGTATTATATGCATTCAATTTGTGGTTTTATTATATTGGAACTGTGGATATATAGCATTAGAGTTCTGAACATATGTCTTATCATTTCAGGTTGGTGACTGACTACAAGTGCCACAAGAATAGTTGGATACAAAAGCTGTATGACTGTAGGGAGAAGTGGTGTCCAGCATTCAATAAGGACTATTTTTCAGGGGGCATTTTATCATCGCAAAGGAGTGAAACTACTAACCATTCGATTTCAAGAAGGCTGTCCAAGACTGCAGGTCTATGTGATTTTTATTCATCGTTTGTTAGTGTAACTTCTGAATGGAGGAGCAAAGAGAATGGTGAAGACTTTCGTTGTACTCAAGGGGTACCCAACATGATGATGGAGCACGTGAAACTTCTGTTACACGCTAGAGAGGTATATACGATTGAGATATATTTTTTGTTTGAGGAACAATTCATGAAAGGCAATGCCTGTCATCAAGAAATGGTGTTGAATGAAGGTTGTCAGTTCAAGTATCACGTATGGCGTCCAGATATAGATATTATAAGGCATGAAGTCAGTTTTAAGTTGTCAACCTTAGACATTTCGTGTAGTTGCAAGTTGATTTCGGAGTTAGGAATTTTATGCTGCCATTGTTTACGCATTCTTCATATACACTGTGTTTCAAGTATTCCTAACAAATATATCATGAAAAGGTGGACTAAAAAGGTTGCTGATGGTAGGGATGTGAATACTGGTTCAATGTTTTGTAGAGCTGGTGTCCCTCCTTCAATTTGGGTTGTGGAGATTTGCAGAAAGTTTTAAAGACTGATTTCATCTAGTCAAGATAACAGTGTAACTAGGCAGTTCTGTGATGAAGCAGTTGAGGAAGCAAAGAAAAAGGTTGAAGCTGAGATTGGCTATGTGCATATTGAAGAGTGCGGTGTTTCATCTTCAAGTGGTGCCATTCAAAATCCTTCAAACCGGAGATCAAAAGGTGAGCGTAACGTAAGGAGGAGTAGTGTTATTGAAAAGAAGTACAGTGCTGCAAGGGGGAGGAGGAGTGCTGCAAATAAAGTTGCTTCGAGTACAAAGGGTGTTGTTCAGTCGTTGGTTTTGGAAAGTCTATCTGAGATTGCCGGGGATGGGTACCTTGTACATCCAAGTTCTGGGAGTTCGGAGTTTTGTCAGTATAGTAATGATGTAGATGATAATGCAGTTGTAGATTGAGAGTGGGGTTAATACCAGTTGGTAGCTAGTTGTTTTGAGGATATCAATTTACAAGTTGTTTGATCTGTGTATTCAAAATTTTAGTACTTGTTGATTTGCAGGTTTGAAGCTATATATCCATAATATTAAAGCTACATATCCATAATACTAAAGCTATATATCCATAATATTAGAGCTATACATACATATTCTGAGAACTATATGACCACAAAATATTGGAATTGTGTGTCAAATTAGTAAAAGTGTTCATAATGTTATATCATTATATCCACAATATTAAAGCTATATATCAATATGTAAACTGGTGAACTTGATGTTTACACTTATGTAAAATGTAAGTTCACAGTTGAACGAATATTCATAACTTTATATCAATATGTCCACAATCTTAAACCTATATGTCCATAATTCTGAGAACTATATGACCACAAAATATTGGAATTGTGTGTCAAATTAGTAAAAGTGTTCATAATGTTATATCATTATATCCACAATATTAAAGCTATATATCAATATGTAAACTGGTGAACTTGATCACTTATGTAAAATGTAAGTTCACAGTTGAACGAATATTCATAACTTTATATCAATATGTCCACAATCTTAAACCTATATGTCCATAATTCTTGAAATATGAATATATGAATATTTGAACGGTATGTTTATACTTATGTAAGATGTTCATAATTTTATATCCATACATCCACAATCTTAAACCTACATGTCCATAATATGAGAACTATATATTCAGTGAATTTCATAGATCGAATTTCAAAAATTGTGATAGAGTTGTTACAAAACGACCATAAGAACAGAAAATATTAAAATATTCATCCACAAAAACATTCATTGATCTTTCCAGTTTTACTTCTTCTTGTCTTCAATCTTTGCAGCTTTCATGACCTCGCCTTTGACGCTGTTCAGCTTTGACGTGATGATACAAGCAGCATACTTTGCCCTCAACTCAAAAATGAAGCTAGCCTGTAAAATAAGAAAAATAAATAACTAGTTCATTGTAATTTTTTCATCACTTTTTGATGTAGTTGGAATGTAATATATTTATGTTACTCTTACATTCGTGCGCATATGTTTCTTGAACCCAGGATCCCAGTTCTCGAGAGCTCCACCCATGTAAGTCTCCATATGCCGCATTACATATATGACACAGTCGGTGACATTCTCTGCATTTTTCCAGTGCATGGCAAGGAACTCTACTGGCATGCTGTTCAGTTTGTGAGTCAAGGTGGATTGTCCTGCTGCCAGGTACGCCTTGAATGCTTCAATCTGGTAAAAAATTAGCTCAATGTTCATAATGTTTTAAATTCAATATATAGGTGACAATAAGGAGATTTTTTAATATAATATAAGCTACCAGTTTGTATGGACAGTCCCCATATTTATCAAGCTCTGAAACACCAGCAGGCAATTCCTTGTTGTCTATCACTTGAACCTTGGATTCCTTGACATTTATGCACACAACAAAGTAGTGTGCATGGCGATGCACTGGGAAAAATATCTAATTCCAAAACAAAAGGTTATTATTTGAAACAACTACATACCCAGGTACTGTTAACTGCATGGGTATACATTCATATTTGACAGAGTACTATATATCCATAATTATAAAACTATATATCCACAATCTTAAAACTATATATCCACAAAATTCGGAAATTTATAAAGATCCTAATAAGCCGAGTATATTCCAAGCTTCAAGCATATAAATCCACAAATTAATAACTATACATCCAAAAACTACATTACCAAATATCCAGAATTCTTAACAGTCTGTTCACAGAGTAATACATTCATATATTAACAGAGTACTACATATCCATAATCACATAACTATATATCCACAATTTTAAGACTATATATCCACAAATTCAGAACTTTATAAAGGATCTTATTAAACTTTGTATATTCCAAGCTTCATGCATATATATCAATAATAAAATCTTAAATTATTAAATTAAGTGTGTGTAATAGATCTTACAAGGTCTGCATCACTGATTTCCAGGTTTCCAAAACTTGATATTTCATAATTCAATCTATCATTGAAATTTTCCATCCTTTTCTCAGCTGGGAGACTTTTCATCCAATCATCAGATGGATCAAGCTGCAGCTGTTTTTGAATACACAGAAATGCAAAAAATGAGTATTCAAAAGGCTTAGAGTACTAGATTTTTAAAAATGCGCATCTGCATGTCAAAAATAACTCTTACATGTGGCAGTGTGGTGAAGAATACGCGTTTTGGTATCCCAACAGCACGTTCTGTGTTCTTCAAAGTTAGCCGCAAAGACCAAATATTCAAGAAGTCTATATCCAACTCGTCATTGCTCAAAGTTGAGAAGTGACGCCTTGTTAGGTAGTAGTCACCATAGCTGAACAGCAACTCACTACAGCACCAAAATAACAATAATAATAATAACACCAATAGTTATAATAATATGAACTATCTAAGTAATTTAAAGGTTATTATAAATATATGCGTTCAAACATACTCTTCTGGGTGTTCGGTAGACACACTCAAGAATGCATAGTTTGAAATGATTTTTTCCCGTGGAGTTGCAGTGCGTATAAAACCTGCATTCTGTGTCCAGTATGGTGACCTCAAACAAAGAGGTTTGTTCCTGAATCGTCGCTGGGGTCTCATCCTAACAGTCACGTCCTCAACATCAGACTCACTTTCTTGCATGGCACTGTTGTTTATATATCCACAGTATTAGAACTTTATATCCATAATATTAAACATATATGTACATAATCATAGAACTATATATTCACAGATTTAAAATGTTCATAATTTTATATCTATATATCCACAATTTTAAAGCTATATGTCCACAGTTGTAAAAATGTTCATAAGTTTATATTCATAATTTTAGCACTATAAATTCATAACGTTAAAGCCAAATGCAAATAACAAACTGTAAATTTACCAATCAAAGTCATCAACATCAGCATTAGTAGCAGCGGCATGACGAACATATCTCTGAAATGGGACCCTAACAAGTGGAGGAGTGACTTGTGCTCCCAAGGTCGTTGACAGTCCTGCATCCTCTCCAATTTGTTGAACCAAAGCATCCAATGGTAGGTCCTCTTCAACTACTTGCTCTGTGTGTTGCTCACATGGCTGCGGTTGCGATTCATTGCAGTGTATTCCCAAATCAAATGATGGAGCTTCAAATTCCATGGTTCTTGTTGTCTTCTGAAATGCTTCCACCAATGAATCCACTGCAGCGGTGAAGGTTTCACTCCCAAAGAATATGTCATCCAACTGAGATTCAGTTGGAATGGAAGTTGATTCAATTGCGCTTGCAGCACCTAGCATGTTTGATATCCCTGAGAACGCTTTCTTCAGGACTTCAATAGGTGCGCCCTGCTTTCCAATTTCAGACATAGCTTCACCAAACTCCAGGACATCTGATGCTAGCTTTTGGAGCACACGGGTCACCCGATCAACACTTGAGAGTGGCTCACTTGTAGTTGGTGTCGGTGTTGCAGTAGCAGGAGTAGAAGAAGTAGTAGCAGCAGCAGTAAATGCAGGTTGTGGTAGTGAGGTTGTAGCAGCAGCAGTGCTTGCAGGTTGTTGCAGTGAGGTGGTAGCATCAGTCCTTGGCTTCTTAACTCTAGGGATAACCCTTCCTTTCCAAACCCACCAGCCCTTTTTCAGCCTTGACTCTCTTTCTTACAAGCGTGGTTGTCCAAGCAAGTATGCTAGGGTATGTCCTGTTGATCTTCATTCCTTTGAATTCTACTCGATCAAAGTAGAACAGCTACAAATTACAGAAGATTATGTTAAAGATGAATTTAGAACAATTTATCCATGTATTCTTAATTGCATGGTCATAGTGTAATGCATAACTATATGTCCATAATCACATAACTATATATCCATAACTTTAAAACTATATATCCACAAAATTCAGAAATAAAAAATGATATTAATAAAATGAGTATATTCCAAGTTTCATGCATATATGTCCATAAACCCATAAATATACATCCAAAAACACATTAATATATATCCAGAATTATTAGCAGTATGTCCACAGAGTAATACATACATATATTCACAGAGTACTACACATCCATAATCACATAACTATATATCCACAATTTAAAATTATATATCCACAAATTAAACTGCATAAAGGACCTCATTAAACTGAGTGTATCCAAGTGTCATGCATATATATCCATAAACCCATAACTATACATCCAAAAACACATTAATATATATCCAGAATTATTAACAGTATGTCCACAGAGTAATACATTCATATATTCACAGAGTACTATATATCCATAATCACATAACTATATATCCACAATTTTAAAACTATATATCCACAAATTAAACTACATAAAGGATCTTATTAAACTGAGTATATTCCAAGTTTCATGCATATATATCCATAATAAATTGTTAGTTATACACCTACAACTACATAAAATTCATGCAACTAGATTAAAGACAATAAGAACTGACCAATATCAATGTCATTGGCCCCCAAAAGCTTCTCTTTCTATCTTCATTGTAACTATCTATCGAGTCAATGAGAGATTGGTATGTGTAGGCGCACCAATTGTACTCTTTAATCATATCAACATCAATCAATGAGTTTAAGATCCTGTACTTGGAAGTAGCGTGTTATGTTTCCCTCGAAGCATGAGGAAACGGCAAAGACTACGAAATCCCTCTTGAACTCATCACCAATGATCAGCTCTCCTAACAATCTCATCTGGCATCTGTGTAGTTATTGGCGAGCCTGCTGTAATACCCCACCTCCTTCTCCATGAAGTCAACAGCAGTTTGTATTCACGGGTTGAGG